CACAGCTTTGTTTTACTTATTATATTAATATATTTTAATTTTGGTGCTGTATTTTATTTTTTAGATGACGTCTCAAGTCATTTTGTTAAACAGATTATTAATACAGCATCTTTGTACTGTCGTGAATAAGAAAAAACACCTTTTCAGTTTTTGTGGTTTCCATCTCAGAACATAATTAAAATGATCTGATCTTTACTGGGTTCTAAATTTGAGTGCTCTGAATTAGTGAGTTTCTACACCCTCTAAAGTGTGCAGAACTGATTCCACCTTGTCCTTATTTATTTTTATTACATCCATATTAGAAAAAAAAACAAAGTTTTCATGAATCAGGAGCTTGAAGAACTTGTTTAACTTTCTGTCAGACTTCGTCAGTCTGTGCAGACGAGCATTGTATTGATCAACGGAAAAAAAAGATGTTAGTTGATAATTAATAGGGGTGCAACAATACATGTAACCGTATCGAACAGTGCTGTATCAGACAATACAGATTTTAAAAATTAACTTTATCAACTTGTCTTCTGAAGATGTTCTGTGTTAAAGGATCAGTGGATCTGTGTTTGACTATTCCAACTAGGCTGCATTTTTGAGCGCAGATCCACCGAGAAACTTGCTGTTTCAGCAACATTTAATTAAAAAACTGTACTTTTGAGGTTAAACAAATGTTTATAATTATTATAAATAAATTACAAGTTAAAATGGGCATGGAAATTTGTCTTTTTTGTATCGAACAGTGAGACTAAAGCATCGAACCGAACCGTGAATTTCCTAGAGTGCAACGATACAGGAAATTCACGGTTCAGTTCGATACTTGAGTCTCACGGTCCGATATTTTTTCGATACAAACAAGAGAAATGTCCATGCCCCTTTTAACTTGTAATTTATTTATATTAATTATGAACATTTGTTTAACCTCAAAAGTACTGTTTTTTAATTAAATGTTGCTGAAACAGCAAGTTTCTCAGTGGATCTGTGCTCAAAATGCAGCCTAGATGGAGCAGTCGAACACAGATCCACTGATCCTTCAACACAGAGCATCTTCAGAAGACAAGTTGGTAAAGTAAAATTTTAAAATCTGTATTGTTCGATACAGCACTGTTCGATACGGGTACATGTATTGTTGCACCCCTACTAATTAGATGTGTTTTTTATTTTCTTTTTTTAAGACAAGGCTCTTCGTGGAGAACGTCTGGTCCACTCTTTACAGTATAGCTTCAGATTGTTGACATTTCTCTCAAGACTCTCTGCAGTATTTTAACAGTGCAGGTGTCTTTGACTGGACCATTACAGAACCTTGATTCTGTTCTTATTGATCTGTTTGTAGATCAGCTGTGTTTGGGATCCTACTGAACATGTTAAATCCTGTGGAAAGAGAAGACTGTACTTCACACAGTTTACTCATTTTCATGGCACAATAAGGAGGCCAAAATTAAGTGTACTGCGCAGCCAGCAGTTGCTACATCCTTGTAGCAGGAGGCTGTGTCTATAAACCAGCTATTGATCTGATTAATGATAGGCTGACTGAGAGGCCAGCACTGGCAAATGAGAAGTAGCCTGTTTATTTGTGTTAGCATCGGAGAGCTAGCAACTAGCATGTCTAGGCTGCTCACCTACTTTATTAGGCACAAACTCTTTTGAATAAAGAAAACTTTCTCAACAAAAATGGTTGACATACCAAACCTATAAGCAACATGCACTGACAGGTGCTCCTTAGGCATAATTTACTGTTCAACATGACATTAAGCATAAATATTAAAAGGACTGAACTAATATAGGGCTTTATCAAGCCCCATGGGGACCCTAAAGAGCTTCACACTACAGACATTCACAGACTGATGGTGCTAAGCTACATTGTAGCCACAGCTGCCTGGAGGCACACTGATAGAGGTGGGGCTGCCATGCACTGGTGCCACCGAACCCTCTGACCACCACTGCAAAAACTGTCCATCGTACCAAGTTTTAAAATCTTATATCAGCCAAAAAGTCTTTTTTGATCTTGTTTTGAGACTGATTTACTAAACAAGAACTGATTGTGTAAGAATAATAATCTTGTTTTTAGAATGTGTAAGATTATTTGTCTTGTTAGTCTGAAAATTAGACTCAAGTCAAAAAGTTCAGCCAATGGAGTAAGAAAATTTTACTTGGTAAGATTCTTGAAATAAGACAAAAATAAAGTCAAATCAAGTATTTCAAGAATCTTACCAAGTAAAATTTTCTTACTCCATTGGCAGAAATTATTGATTTAGAGTCAAATTTTAAGACTAACAAGACAAATAATCTTACACATTCTGAAAACAAGATGATTGTTCTTACACAATCAGTTCTTGTTTAGTAAATCAGTCTCAAAACGAGATCAAAAAGACGTTTTGGCTGGATATAAGATCTTAAAACTTGGTTAGGTGGAGATTTTTTGCAGGCAAGATGGGTGAAATGTCACAAGGACACAACTACTGAGACAGTTGGAATGGGGAATTGAACCGGCAACCCTCTGGTTACAGGATGACTCCCCTAACTATCTGCCACAGCTGGTTTTACGTTAAGGAGTAGCTATAGCCTCCTGCTACAAGGATGCAGCACCTGCTGGTTGTGCAATAGTCTTAGGTTTGGCCCTCATACTGCACCATATATTTTGGCTTCATTTCAGTTTAATAAAACATGTTTCAATCTACAGTGTTTTTTTTAGATTGAATCACTTTAAAACGTAGTAAAGACCAGATCATTCTGTTGTGTCCTGATTCATAAAACCTTTGTATTAAAAAGAGAACTTTCTTTTTCTTGTGACTGCATCTAAAATGTTTGTGCTGTTGTTGTTTTGTTTTGTTTTTTTACCTGCTGTTGTGTTGCCTCACCTGCACTGGTGTGTCTGTCAAACCATACAGTGGTTCTTGTGGGCGTGTTTTTGCACAAATCGCCCTTCCCGCCCTACCAGAGAGGATTCTTCTGTGACGACAGCAGCATCCGCCTGCCCTATAAGAACAGCACCGTGTCCACCGCCGTGCTGACAGCGGTGGGCGTGGCTGTGCCCGTGGTCTCTGTAAGTCCTGGTGTGGTCCAGTAGGAGGGCAGGACCAGCACGTGTCGGAGCACACTCAGTTCATCAGCGGCTGCTTTTTGTAAAAAAGAAACCCACTTTGATTGGCTTTGATTCACACTCAGGTCACGTCTCATTGGCTGCAAATCATGTCTGCTGCACGCCTGTTCTCATCATCAACTTTATGGCTGAGTTTCCACTTTTCAGGCTGTCTGAAGTTATTCTAACATTATTTGATGCCAGTTTCAATACCTTATAAGCACTGCCTCCACATGGACAAACAGGTTAGTCACATGCAAAAGAGGGCCATCGCCTAACGATAGGCTTAATCAGCTCTATTGTTCATAGAGGGTCATGTGCCCCATCATCTGACCCGTGTCGATGTGGCACATGACCCTCTATGAACAATAGAACTAATCAAGCCTATTGTTAGGTGATGGCCCTCTTTTGCATGTGACTAACCTGTTTGTCCATGTGGAGGCAGGGCTTATAAGGCTGAGTTCACCTGAAACTCCTCAGACTGAAGAAGTCTCTTGGAGGAGAGACGAAACGTTTCACTAAAGAAGAACCCATCCAGAGGACCTACTTATTTTTTCTTTTAGATTTTTTTCTACCTGGATTACTGAGATGCATCAGGACAGTTGGATTTAACATTTTTACATTTAGGTAAATAAACATGGTTAATTTTTCTTTTTGCGATTTTACTTTGAAACAACAAACCAAAGAACGATCCACACACAGATTCAGATGTGGCCTCCCTTCTTACAGAACCACCCCCAAACTCTGTTCTCCATGGTCCACACAGGCTAAGAACTGGATCATGGAAAACCTCCCTCAAAACAGTCACGACTCTGATACAATCTGTTCACCAAATAAGATACTTCCTGCATCTGAGAGATGCTCTTCTGCCTGCTGCTCCACTTGGTGGAGGCTCACGTGTGATGCAGAGCACAGATTTCTAGGAGTGCACCAGTTGCAATTATCTGGCTGATCACCGGTCTTTAAAAAGTCCACAGCTGACACTGTCAGGTGTTATGAGGTCACACTACACTTCAATGTTCCAATCTTATTGAAAAACACTGAATAATACCCCTGAAACAATACAAACTTGTTTTAACTGGACATTGGCTGATTGTCATAGCGTAGTGGAGGTAGAGAAGACGATCTTTTCCACCAATCTTATCTAAGTATCAACCGGTCTCCTATCTCACAAAATGAGGGAAATCGGTGCAGCCCCTACAAATGTCATCATTACATAAGAACATGCATTGATGACAGAGTATATGTACATTTACAGGCTGGACAGGACAGGTCTTCACTGCACCTAACTCTTCCTGGCATCAAGTTGAAGATTAGTTTTTGTGTTTTTTCCAACGTTCCCAGCCAGAAACCAGTCTACTGTTTCAACTTAATTCCTTTTTTCCGACCGCGAGCTTTGACTTCTGAGTTCAGACTGCTCGCACCATTAAAGCTGCGAGCAGCCCACAGAGATACAGATCAGTCCGCTCATTGTGTTTGGAAATGACTTGCACACCGTGGCGTGTTGGTAAAGGATGGACCAACAGCCACAGGATGAACTGAGCTGCTCCCAGACGTGCTCTTGTCCCCTCCTGCTCCGACACACCTCCTCCTCAGTGATTTGTTTTATTAACCCACCACCTCCATCTCTCCTCTTCACCCCCCTCCCCCCACCCTTCCTTCTCTCTGTGCTCACCGCTGCTTCACACTGTAGCCGGCCTGCCTTTCTTGGTCATAGAGACGTGTGCGGTCCAACCGTACCGTCGAGGGTTTTACTGCGCCGACGAGTCCATCAAGTACCCGGCCAAAAACAGAGACACCATTAGCGACGGTGTGCTCAGCGCCGCAGGCATTCTAATCACCATCCTGTCTGTAAGTCACCTCACTCTGATCACTAACGCCCTTCATCACCTCTCGTCTTCCTCGCAGCACCTCAGGTCACAGCTGAGCTCATACTTTCTCCTCGTCTTTCTTTCTTTGCTCCAGTTTGGCTGATCTGAACGTTTCCAAGTGTCTGTTGTTTTTCTTTTCAGCCAAGATGTTTTCCTCGCAGGCTGACAGAAAAGCCTTTGATTAAAGAACGTTTTTATCACACGTTAGTGATATTTAGGTTGTTTTCTGTGAAAAAGTTATGAACAATGAATAACCTTCCTGCTGTAGAAGATACCCTGACTCATAAAATAGTTTCAGTTTGACCACAGTAGCTGCGTTTCCATTGACCATGAAAATGCGCAAATTAGAATTTCGAAAATAAATTTGCTCAATGGAAACACGTCAATTTAGGAAAAAAATTACGTTTTTCGACAAAATGTTATTGCACTAAGATGAGGTGGTATTTCGGCCGTATCGAAATTGGTGTTTTTCGCAAAACTG